GATATGGTACCTCAACACTGATGGAATAATGAATAAGTGGGAAGAGTGGCACGAGAGAATCAAAGAGGCATCACCGGACATCATAGCTCTCACCAAAACCAAGCTCACAGGAATGATAACAGGTTCCATGTTTCCAACGGGATATCAGTTCTTGAGGAAAGAGATGGAACAGAGGGGGTGGAGGAGTGACACTGATCATTAAAAAACCAATGGGATTTTGACGAGATGGAAAGAGGAGACAGAGGAGAGGCTAGAAACTACATAATAGGGGCACTTCAGTCTGGAGGTCCCAAGGTGGTAATTGCAGCGATGTATAACCCACCACAGAACAGCAAGAGGACAAGTCAAGAATATGATGAGAGTAACAGAGCGATGGTTGACACTGCTGAAGTGGCCGGAAAACCTCATGCAAGCAGGTCAAAGCTACTGATTGTGGGTGATTTCAGTCACAAAGAAATTGACTGGAAGAACCTGGAGCCACATGGGGGCCCAGAAACCTGGAGGCCTAGGATGATTAAGGCGTTACTGGAAAACCTCATGTACCAACACATAAGGGATACTACCAGAGAGAAAGGAGAGGATGAACCAGCAAGACTGGACCTATTATTCACCTTCAGTAGTGCAGATATTGAGGATATCACATATGAAAGACCCCTTGGGGCCAATGACCACGTGGTTCTGAGCTTCAAATGCATAGTAGAGCTACAAGTGGAGAAGGAAACAGGAAGGGCAGGGTGAATGAAGCCAAACTACATGAGAGGGAACTACACAGGCATGAAGAATTTCCTGCACGAGGTTCAGGGGGCCGTCGGTCAAAAAATTGTAGCTCTTTTGTTTACCGTCCAATTTCCTCCAGTTTTGGTGCACAAGACAAAGTGTTTTCACAGTGTAAAAAATATTTGTCAAAAATATACCTCAAACAACAACTGAGAAAAGACTGAAAAAGGACTGATTTACTGAAAATGCCCTTGGGGGGCGATTTATTCCTATATGGGACGACTTAAGGTTGTTTGGACACTTGGTGCCGAGAGAACAATGCTTATACGAATTTTATAAGCTACCTGTCCTCTAAAATAACTTATCTTTATTTCACAAAAAATAAAGTTTGTTAGTTCTTGGAATATTGCAAAAAAATCTGCCCTTTACTCCCACATAACTCCCAAAGTATTTGGAATATTTCCAAAAATTGAGCCAAGGAAATTAGAGAAATCATTATTCTACAATTTCTGTGAATATTATTCCATTTAATTAAGTAATAAAGGAAGAATTATTTACATTAGGTGAATAAGTTACCTCCGAGATATTGGTCTGGAACGCCGGCCGGCCCGCAGTCTCGAATTTTTTTTTTTCGCGAAAATCGCGTTTGTTTGGGTGTATTTCTTAGTAAACTGATGTTCTAGTGCAGTTATCTTCTTCAAAGCACCGTTTTCTCTTACTTAGAGACCAAAGAATACGACATGATAAGATTCACTCATATATATCGAAATACTCCCGATGGTCTCTCGCCATAATGGCTTATTATATTCAGTCTAGAGTATATAACATGTTTGTATGTTATTTATAGTGTTTATTATATCATATTAGATCAATTCTGATAGATAAATAAGCCGTAGAGTTTATATATAAGCTGATATAAGCGTAATAATGAAGTGATTTCTCCTGGCACTCTCTGGAGCGGGAACACTGCCGAGTGTTCCCAGATGCTGCCTGGTTGGCTATAAGTCTACGGATAAGCTCCGCCTACTGTTTTATAATGCCAAATAGTCAGTTATTATATTAGAAAGAATAATGCAAGAAAAAGAGATAAAAAACAAGGAAAAAAATCCAAAAAAATATATGGGCTGTGAGCAGACTAGCTACCCACATCCCCGTCACCATACCTGATATAAATGACTATAATTTCTTGTAGAAACGTCGTAGAACATTGATTCTGGTACCATTGTGTTGCCAAAGAGTTAAGCTATTTTTTCGGTATAAATAACTTAATTTCCATAATTTTTCGATTTTTTTTGAGAGCGCGAGGAAATTTGCCTGACTGCCCCCTTCAGTGGGACAGAGCACTGACAGGGAAGCCAGTAAATGAGATGATGGAATATGTGTCTTCAATATGCAAGGAAGCTGAGAAGAGGTTTGTACCCAAGGATAACAGAAATAACAAGACAGCCAGGATGAGCCCTTGGTTCACTCAAAGGTGTAGAGAGGCCAAAACCAAGTGTGCTAGAGAATTGAAGAAGTGTAGAAGGCAAAGGACCCAGGAGAATAAGGAGAGCAGTCGTAGAGTTAGAAATGAATAAGCACATGTAAGAAGTGAGGCCCAACGACAATACGAAAATAACATACCAGTGAAAACCAAATCTTACCCAAAGCTGTTGTATAGCCACATCAGGAAGAAAACAATAGTCAAGGGCCAGGTAATCAGGCTGAGGAAGGAAGGAGGGGAGGTCACAAGAAATGACCGAGAAGTATGTGAGGAGCTCAACGTGAGTTTCAAAGTGTTCACAGAGGAGACAGAAGGGACTCCAGAAAGACGGAGAGGTGGGGTACACCATCAAGTGTTGGACAATACATACAACCGAGGAACAAGTGAAGAGGCTATTAAGGGCCTAGATACCTCAGAGGTGATGGGGCCAGATAACATCTCTCCATGGGTGCTAAGAGGGAGAGCAGAGGCGCCATGTGCTATATGTGCCACTTACAACAATCTTCAACATATTTATCGAAACAGGGCGACTACCTGAGGTATGGAAGACAGCAAATGTAGTCCCAGTTTTTTAAAAAAAGGTGACAGACACGAAACATTAAGCTATAGACCAGTGTCATTGACATGTATAGTATGCAGAGTCATGGAGAAGATTATCAGAAGAGTGGTGGAGTACCTAGAAAATAATGAGCTTATCAAACGACAACGTGCAAGGTTTCAGGGATGGGAAATCCTATGTCACAAACCTACTGGAGTTCTATGACAGGGTGACAGCAGTAAGACAAGAGGGAGTGGGGAGGGCAGATTGCGTTTTCTTGGGCTGCAAGAAGACTTTTGACACGGTTCCACACAAGAAATTTGTGCATAACCTGGAGGACCAGGCAGGTATAACGGGGAAAGCTGCTGAAATGGATCAGAAAATACCTGTTAGGAAGACATCAGCGAGTCATGGTACGTGGCGAGGTGTCAGAGTGGGCGCCTGTGACGAGCAGGGTTCCACAGGGATCAGTCCTAGGACCGGTGCTGTTTCTGGTATTTTGGACGACATGACGGAAGAAACAGATTCAGAAGTGATTCTGTTTGCAGATGATGTGAAGTTGATGAGAAGAATTCAATCGGATGAGGACCAGGCAGAACGACAAAGGGATCTGGATACGCTGCAGGCCTTGTCCAGAAACTGACTCTTGGAGTTCAACCCCACCAAGTGTAAAGTCATGAAGATTTGGGAATAGCAAAGAAGACCGCACACGGAGTACAGTCTAGGGGGCTAGAGACTACAAACCTCGCTCAAGGAAAAGGATCTTGGGTGAGTATAACACCGGGTATATCTTTTGAGGCGCACATTAACTAAATAACTGATGCAGCATATGGGCGCCTAGCAAACCTAAGAATAGCATTCCGACATTTCAGTAAGGAATCGTTCAGGACCCTGTACACCATGTACGTCAGGCCTGTATTGGAGTACGCAGCACCAGTTTGGAACCCACACTTAGCCACGCACGTAAGAAAATTAGAGAAAGTGAAAAGGTTTGCAACAAGACTAGTCCCGGAGCTAAGGGCATGTCCTACTAGGAGAGGTTAAGGGAAATCGACCTGACGACACTAGAGGACAGGAGAGATAGGGGGGACATGATAATATAAAATATTGAGAAGAATTGTCAAGGTGGACAGAGACAGGATGTTCCAGAGATGGGACACAGAAACAAGGGGTCACAATTGGAAGTTGAAGACTCAGATGTGTCAAAGGGATGTTAGGAAGTATTTCTTCGGTCACAGAGTTGTCAGGAAGTGGAATAGTCTGGGAAGTGATGTAGTGGAGACAGGATACATACATAGCTTTAAGAAGAGGTATGATAAAGCTCATTGAGCAGGAAGAGTGACATAGTAGCGACCAGTGAAGAGGCGGTGTCAGGAGCTGTGACTCGACCCCTGCAACCACAACTAGGTGAGTACACGCATGCACCCAGATTGTTGATTCCTGTCCTCCAGAAGCTTAGGGTCAATGCCACCCACACCCACCACTGCCACCCACACCCACCACTGCCACCCATGCCCACCACTGCCACCCACGCCCACCACTGCCACCCACGCCCACCATCCACACTCACCACTGCCACTCATGCCCACCATACACACCCATCAATGCCACCCACGCCCACCATCCACACCCATCAATGCCACTCACGCCCACCATTCACAACCATCAATGCCACCCACGCCCACCATTCACACCTATCAGTGCCACCCACGCCCACCATTCACACCTATCATTGCCACACACGCCCACCATTCATACCTATCAGTGCCACCCACGCCCACCATACACTCCCATCAATGCCACCCACGCCCACCATCCACACCCATCAATGCCACTCACGCCCACCATTCACAATCATCAATGCCACCCACGCCCACCATACACACCCATCAATGCCACCCACGCCCACCATCCACACCCATCAATGCCACTCACGCCCACCATTCACAACCATCAATGCCATCCACGTCCACCATCCACATCCACCACTGCCACCCACGCCCACCATACACACCCATCAATGCCACCCACGCCCACCATCCACACCCATCAATGCCACTCACGCCCATCATTCACAACCATCAATGCCACCCACGCCCACCATTCACACCTATGAGTGCCACCCACGCCCACCATACACACCCATCAATGCCACCCACGCCCACCATCCACACCCGTCAATGCCACTCACGCCCACCATTTACACCTATTAGTGCCACCCACGCCCAGCATGAATCCCGCACTTACCCATGCCGCCCACAGGTACCTTAACAACCTACCATATGGACTGCTGCGTAAGTTCCTGGAGCCCACACCGCCCACACCGCCCACACCGCCCACAGTGCCAGAGAGACTCAAGCGCTCAACTCATGACACTGAAGAACAGATCTTCTGTGAATGGAACATAAGGGTGAGTTTAATATTTTATTATTGACGTTTTTACCTTCCTTATTACATGACATGAGAGACCAATTATAATAATAATAATAATAATAATAATAATAATAATAATAAAAATAATAATGATAATAATAATAATAATAATAATTATTATTATTATTATTATTATTATTATTATTATTATTATTATTATTATTATTATTATTATTATCAGTACCTCCCCAGGCAAAGGTTTGATCCATGGAAGGAAAAAATAGCTCGACTTCCATTGATCAAGAGCTTTCTAGAATTAAAACTTATGGTTTTACATGGAAAGGTATATACACAGTTGAATGTGTATACCCCAGTGTATATACACAATGGAATTCGTACACCTCAGTGTATATACACAATAGAATGTATATACCTCAGTGTATACACAGAGGAATGTGTATATACACAGTGGAAAGTATATACCTCAGTGCATATACACACAGGGATGTGTATTCCTCAGTGTATATAAACAAATTGAGGTATATATCTCTCAGTGTATTTGCACTGAGAGTTAATTCACTACTATAGTCATTAAAGTGTTCTTGACTAGCAGTGAACAGGTGACATACAGCCTCAGTGACTGGTGTAGTAGATAGTCTTTAAACCTAATACAGCAAGTAACCAGTCTACGTTACAAGGCTCGACTCCCAGCCAATCATAGTGCTTGTTACAACACGACTATACCAGCAGGAACACAATACTAGCTATTACACTGTTAATATATGGAGTCGTTCACAGGGACTCAGGACGACAAGAAACACAATGTGTCGTCCATAGGAACTCATAACACGACAAGAAACACAACGTAGGGTCTCACAACACAAGAAACATTATGTCGTCCATAAGGACCCACAACACGACATGAAACACAATAGGGACTTAAAACTCGAATAGAAACACAATGTGTCGTCAATAGAATCTCAGAACACGACAACAGCCACAATGTAAAGCGCATAAGAACTCACAACACGACAACAGCCACAATGTAAAGCGCATAAGAACTCACAACACGACAACAGCCACAATGTAAAGCGCATAAGGACTCACAACACGACAACAGTCACAATGTAAAGCGCATAAAGACTCACAACACGACAACAGTCACAATGTAAAGCGCATAAAGACTCACAACACGACAACAGCCACATTGTAAAGCGCATAAAGACTCACAACACGACAACAGCCACAATGTAAAGCGCATAAGAACTCACAACATGACAACAGCCACAATGTAAAGCGCATAAGAACTCACAACACGACAACAGCCACAATGTAAAGCGCATAAGGACTCACAACACGACAACAGTCACAATGTAAAGCGCATAAAGACTCACAACACGACAACAGTCACAATGTAAAGCGCATAAAGACTCACAACACGACAACAGCCACATGTAAAGCGCATAAAGACTCACAACACGACAACAGCCACAATGTAAAGCGCATAAAGACTCACAACACGACAACAGCCACAATGTAAAGCGCATAAAGACTCACAACACGACAACAGCCACAATGTAAAGCGCATAAAGACTCACAACACGACAACAGCCACAATGTAAAGCGCATAAAGACTCACAACACGACAACAGCCACAATGTAAAGCGCATAAGAACTCACAACACGACAACAGCCACAATGTAAAGCGCATAAAGACTCACAACACGACAACAGTCACAATGTAAAGCGCATAAAGACTCACAACACGACAACAGTCACAATGTAAAGCGCATAAAGACTCACAACACGACAACAGCCACAATGTAAAGCGCATAAGAACTCACAACACGACAACAGCCACAATGTAAAGCGCATAAGGACTCACAACACGACAACAGTCACAATGTAAAGCGCATAAGGACTCACAACACGACAACAGCCACAATGTAAAGCGCATAAGGACTCACAACACGACAACAGTCACAATGTATAGTGCATAAGGACTCACAACACGACAACAGCCACAATGTAAAGCGCATAAAGACTCACAACACGACAACAGTCACAATGTATAGTGCATAAGGACACACAACACGACAACAATCACAATGTATAGTGCATAAGGACTCACAGCACGACAACAGCCACAATGTAAAGCGCATAAGAACTCACAACACGACAACAGTCACAATGTATAGTGCATAAGGACTCACAACACGACAACAGTCACAATGTATAGTGCATAAGGACTCACAACACGACAACAGCCACAATGTATAGTGCATAAGGACTCACAACACGACAACAGTCACAATGTATAGTGCATAAGGACTCACAACACGACAACAGCCACAATGTAAAGCGCATAAGGACTCACAACAAGACAACAGTCACAATGTATAGTGCATAAGGACTCACAACACGACAACAGTCACAATGTATAGTGCATAAGGACTCACAACACGACAACAGTCACAATGTATAGTGCATAAGGACTCACAACACGACAACAGTCACAATGTATAGTGCATAAGGACTCACAACACGACAACAGCCACAATGTAAAGCGCATAAGAACTCACAACACGACAACAGTCACAATGTATAGTGCATAAGGACTCACAACACGACAACAGTCACAATGTATAGTGCATAAGGACTCACAACACGACAACAGCCACAATGTAAAGCGCATAAGAACTCACAACACGACAACAGTCACAATGTATAGTGCATAAGGACTCACAACACGACAACAGTCACAATGTATAGTGCATAAGGACTCACAACACGACAACACTCGCCATATATCGTGCACAGGAACTCACAACACAACAGGAAACACAATGAAAAGGGCAAAATAAGTCGCGCATGACCTGACATCTTCAAGAGGCTGTTTAATAAGAATTTACAAGTCAGTGATCGCATTGTTCACACACACACACACACACACACACACACACACACACACACACACACACACACACACACACACACACACACACACACACACACACACACAGTGGGACGTCATACAGTGCCTGGGTAAAGGGGGACAGAGTCGATCTAAGAAAGAGCAATTCTTGCGTGTGTCTTGAGTGTGTTAATAATGGTATAAAATACCAACAGGTTGATGAGTGAGACCCATGTGCAACAGTTGGGTATCTTTATTGTTGAAACCTGCACAGTAAGCTTCTTCAGTCATTTACAAAGGCAGCAGGTGTAATAGTGAAAGATGATGTAATCAGTCCATCAACCTTGGAGGACTAGTATTTAAGGTGGTCAGTCCCTCAGCCTGGAGAAGAGTTCAGCTCCATGGTCTGGAACGATATGAAGCCGAAGTATGAGAACGGAGTCTTAAATACTGTCGAAGGTGATTCACTAGTAGAAGTAAGAAAACAAGAACTGAGGAGTCCTGCAGGAAGCGTACTGGCTCATGCTAAGCTAGTTACTCTGGAATCCAGCTCTTCTCACTCATAACTAGTAGTTATGAGAGGAAGTGTAAGAGATGCCCTCTAATACTACACCTGCTGCCTTTGTATTTAGCTGAAGAAGGCTACTGTGTAGGCGAAACGTTTCAACAATCAAGACACCCAACTGTTGTACTTGTGTCTTACTCATCCCCTGAGTGACTGATGCTAATTCACTGGTCAGATATTTTTTGGCCAGTTAAACTCACGAGCCCATGGGACTGTAACACACATCCACGAGCATCATGGGGAGGCGCTAAACCCTTAGGGGTCATAGAGCACCTTAGGATTTGTAGGCAATCAGGTCTTGTTTCATGGGGTGTGTATCTCTAATTTCTTAGGCTTTACAAAACCACGGAAAGGGCGGGGTTGGGGGTGGGAGGGGGGAGTTGAACCCATGGCGAATGAGTCTTTTACAAGTCACCCAAGATGAGTGAGTCCTTTAGAAGTTACCCATGACGAGTGAGTCCTTTAGGAGTCACCCATGGCGAGTGAGTCCTTTAGAAGTCACCCAAGACGAGTAAATTCTTTAGAAGTTACTCATGACGAGTGAGTCCTTTAGGAGTCACTCACTATGGGTTCAACCCCCACCCGATCCGTGATTCTTTAGCAATCGTAATGTAACGACCTCGTGAGTCGTTCTTAGCTCTACAGCCGCCTATGACAAGATATCAACCAAACATCCGTTCCTTATAACCGGTTAATAATATATCCCGTACATGTCCCTTATACAGGGACATGTACGAGATATATAGCAAAAAAATCCCTACAAGATTTCGCATATAAAAATTTACTCATCAAATTTGAAACAGAGTTCACTTAACTCACTCAAAGAAGGTAAACTAGAATTATTTCAGGGTAAACCAGGTATTTACGGAACATTACCACTGAGTAAAGTCTTCTAAAATAATGTAAACTGCTCTGAAATTTTCAGTTATCAATATCAAAACAAACCTTTTTATTTTCAAATTTCTTTTTTATGGTATAAATATTAGAGCCAAAATAAACCTAATTTACAACTTTCTAATTTACAAATTTCTAATTTTCAAAATTTCAAATTTTTTAGGAAACATAGTCATACGAAGCCTACTAATTCGAAAATTTAAAAAAAATATCTTTTTGTGGTATAAATATAAGCCAAAATATTACTTCTAATTTTCAAAAAATTGTCAAAAAATGCCTTATTAATTTTCAAAGTCTAATTTACAAATTTCTAATTTGAAAATTTCTAATTTATAAACTTCTAATCTAAAAATTTCTAATCTAAAAATTTCTAATTTAAAAATTTCTAATTTTCAAATTTCTAATTGTCAAATTTCTAAATTTCGGTGGTTGATGCCATGTGTTGCTGTGTGTTGTTGTGTTGCTGCAGACTGAGGCTGGCCTGTACCTGCTGATGACCTTCCATAACCTGTCAGCAGCCTACAGTGTTGACTGTCACGGTGCTTATATTGAGGTGGAGAGAGAGAACAATGGTTATGATGCTAGATGGTGTGGCAACCGTGTCTCCCAGGTCAGTGTAATACTGTCTCCCAGGTTAGTGTAATACTATGTCTCCCAGGTCAGTGTAATACTGTCTCCCAGGTCAGTGTAATACTATGTCTCCCAGGTCAGTGTAATACTATGTCTCCCAGGTCAGTACAATACTGTCTCCAGGTCAGTGTAATGCTGTCTCCCAGGTTAGTGTAATACTGTCTCCCAGGTCAGTGTAATACTGTCTCCAGGTCAGTGTAATGCTGTCTCCCAGGTCAGTGTAATACTATGTCTCTCAGGTCAGTGTAATACTGTCTCCCAGGTCAATGTAACACTGTCTCCCAGGTCAGTGTAATATTATGTCTCCCAGGCCAGAGTAATACTGTCTCCCAGGTCAGTGTAATACTGTCTCCCAGGTCAGTGTAATACTGTCTCCCAGGTTAGTGTAATACTGTCTCCCAGGTCAATGTAATACTGTCTCCCAGGTCAGTGTAATACTGTCTCCCAGGTCAGTGTAATACTATGTCTCCCAGGTCAGTGTAATACTGTCTCCAGGTCAGTGTAATGCTGTCTCCCAGGTTAGTGTAATACTGTCTCCCAGGTCAGTGTAATACTATGTCTCTCAGGTCAGTGTAATACTGTCTCCCAGGTCAATGTAATACTGTCTCCCAGGTCAGTGTAATATTATGTCTCCCAGGCCAGAGTAATACTGTCTCCCAGGTCAGTGTAATACTGTCTCCCAGGTCAGTGTAATACTGTCTCCCAGGTTAGTGTAATACTGTCTCCCAAGTCAGTGTAATACTGTCTCCCAGGTCAGTGTAATACTGTCTCTCCCAGGTCAGTGTAATACTGTCTCCCAGGTAAGTGTAATACTGTCTCCCAGGTCAATGTAATACTGTCTCCCAGGTCAGTGTAATACTGTCTCTCCCAGGTCAGTGTAATACTGTCTCCCAGGTCAATGTAATACTGTCTCCCAGGTCAATGTAATACTGTCTCCCAGGTCAGTGTAATACTATGTCTCCCAGGTCAGTGTAATACTGTCTCCCAGGCCAATGTAATACTGTCTCCCAGGTCAGTGTAATACTATGTCTCTCATGTCAGTGTAATACTGTCTCCCAGGCCAATGTAATACTGTTTCCCAGGTCAGTGTAATACTATGTCTCCCAGGCCAGTGTAATACTGTCTCCCAGGTCAGTGTAATACTGTCTCCCAGGTCAGTGTAATACTGTCTCCAAGGTTAGTGTAATACTGTCTCCCAAGTCAGTGTAATACTGTCTCCCAGGTCAGTGTAATACTGTCTCTCCCAGGTCAGTGTAATACTGTCTCCCAGGTCTGTGTAATACTGTCTCCCAGGTCAGTGTAATACTATGTCTCCCAGGTCAGTGTAATACTGTCTCCCAGATCAATGTAATACTGTCTCCCACGTCAGTGTAATACTTTGTCTCCCAGGTCAGTGTAATACTGTCTCCCAGGTCAGTGTTATACTATCTCCAAGGTCAGTGTAATACTGTCTCCCCGGTCAGTGTAATACTATGTCTACAGGTCAGTGTAATACTGTCTCCCAGGTCAGTATTATACTGTCTCCCTGGTCAGTGTAATACTGTCTTCCAGGTCAGTGTAATACTGTCTCCCAGATTAGTGTAATACTGTCTCCCAGGTCAGTGTAATACTGTCCCCCAGGTCAGTGTAATACTGTCTCCCAGGTCAGTGCAATACTGTCTCCCAGGTCAGTGTAATACTGTCTCCCAGGTTAGTGCAATACTGTCTCCCAGGTCAGTGTAATACTGTCTCCCTGGTTAGTGTAATACTGTCTCCCAGATCAGTGTAATACTGTCTCTCACAGGTCAGTATATTACTTTGTCTCCCAGGTCAGTGTAATACTGTCTCTCCCAGGTCAGTGTAATACTGTCTCTCAGGTTAGTGTAATACTGTCTCCCAGGTCAGTGTAATACTGTCTCTCCCAGTTCAGTGTAATACTGTCTCCCAGGTCAATGTAATACTGTTTCCCAGGTCAGTGTAATATTATGTCTCCCAGGCCAGTGTAATACTGTCTCCCAGGTCAAGTGTAATACTGTCTCCCAGGTCAGTGTAATACTGTCTCCAAGGTTAGTGTAATATTATCTCCCAAGTCAGTGTAATACTGTCTCCCAGGTCAGTATATTACTGTCTCTCCCAGGTCAGTGTAATACTGTCTCCCAGGTCTGTGTAATACTGTCTCCCAGGTCAGTGTAATACTATGTCTCCTAGGTCAGTGTAATACTGTCTCCCACAGGTCAGTGTAATACTATGTCTACAGGTCAGTGTAATACTGTCTCCCAGGTCAGTATTATACTGTCTCCCAGGTCAGTGTAATACTGTCTCCCAGGTCAGTGTAATACTGTCTCCCAGGTTAGTGTTATACTGTCTCCCAGGTCAGTGTAATACTGTCTCTCCCAGGTCAGTGTAATACTGTCTCCCAGGTTAATGTAATACTGTCTCCTAGGTCAGTGTAATACTGTCTCCCTGGTTAGTGTAATACTGTCTCCCAGGTCAGTGTAATACTGTCTCTCCCAGGTCAGTGTATTACTTTGTCTCCCAGGTCAGTGTAATATTGTCTCTCAGGTTAGTGTAATACTGTCTCCCAGGTCAGTGTAATACTGTCTCCCAGGTTAGTGTAATACTGTCTCCCAGGTCAGTGTAATACTGTCTCCCAGGTCAGTGTTATACTGTCTCCCAGGTCAGTGTAATACTATGCCTCCCATGTCAATGTAATACTACGTCTCCCAAGTCAGTGTAATACTGTCTCTCCCAGGTCAATGTTATACTGTCTCTCCCAGGTCAGTGTAATACTATGTTTCCTAGGTCAGTGTAATACTGTCTCTTCCAGGTCAGTGTAATACTGTCTCTCACGGGTCAGTGTAATACTATGTCTCCCAGGTCAGTGTAATACTGTCTCTCCAAGGTCAGTGTAATACTGTCTCTCCCAGGTCAGTGTAATACCGTCTCTCCCAGGTCAGTATAATACTGTCTCTCCCAGGTCAGTGTAATAATGTCTCTCCCAGGTCAGTGTAATACTATGTCTCCCAGGTCAGTGTAATATATTTGTCCCAGGTCAGTGTAATACTGCGTCTCCCGGTCAGTGTAATACTGTGTGCTCCAGGTCAGTGTTATGCATGTTCCAACTCAGTGTTATACCGAGTGTTCCAGATCAGTGTTATACTGTGTGTTCCAAATCAGTGTTATACTGTATGTTCCATGTTAGTGTTATGAATGTTCCAAGTCAGTGTTATACTGTGTGCTCCAGGTCAGTGTTATATAGTGTGTCAAAGGTCAGTGCTCTACTGTGTGTTCCAGGTCAGTGTAATATTGTGTGTTCCAGGTCAGTGTAATACCGTGTGCTCCAAGTCAGTGTTATACTGTGTGTTCCAGTTCAGTGTTATGTATGTTCGAAGTCTGTGTTATACTGTGTGTTCCAGGTCAGTGTAATACTGTATGCTCCAGGTCAGTGTTATGCTATGTGTTCCAGGTCTGTGTTATACTGTGTGTTCCAGGTCAGTGTTATACTGTGTGTTCCAGGTCAGTGTTATATTGTGTTCCAGGTCTGTTATACTGTGTGTTCCTGGTCAGTGTAATATTGTGTGTTCCAGGTCAGTGTCATACTGTGTGTTCCAGGTCAGTGTTATACTGTGTGTCCCAGTTCAGTGTAATACTGTGTGCTACATGTCAGTGTTATACTGTGTGTTTCAGATCAGTGTAATACTGCGTGTTCCACGTCAGTGTTAGGTGTGTTCTGTATCTTAGCTCAGTATTGTTCCGTTTCACAGTATTATTCTATATTCCAATCAGCATTATTTGCCCAGTCAGTATTATTCACGTGTCTCAATCAGTATTATTTTCTATGAGTCAGTATACTTGTGTCTCAGTCATTATTCTTTGTCTCAATAAGTATAACTGTGTCTCAGTATAATTATCTCTCAGCAGTGTTATTTGTCTCGGTCAGTATTATTCTTACCTGTCTCAAGTCAGTATTATTTTTTCTGTTTTTCTCACTGTTTGGAGCCGCAGGGCGATGTTTCGCCCTCTTACTAGACCTTTATCAAGTATCTCTTGGTGTTTATGTACATCAATAGTGTACTCACCTAATTGTAGTTGCAGGAGTCGAGACTTAGCTCCTGGCCCCGCCTCTTCACTGATCGCTACTAGGTCCTCTCTCTCTCTCTCTCTCTCTCTCTCTCTCTCTCTCTCTCTCCTCTCTCTCTCTCTCTCTCTCTCTCTCTCTCTCTCTCTCTCTCTCCTTCCTGAGCTGTGTCCTACCTCGTCTTTAAACTATGTATGGTTCCTGCCTCCACTATATCACTGGCTAGGCTATTCCACTTTCTGACAACTCTATGACTGAAGAAATACTTCCTAACATCCCTGTGACTCATCTGAGTCTTCAGCTTCCAATTGTGACCCCTTGTTTCTGTGTCCCATCTGTGGAACATCCTGTCTCTGTCCACCTTGTCTATTCCACGCAGTATTTTGTATGTCGTTATCATGTCTCCCCTGACCCTCGTGTCCTCCAGTGTTGTCAGACCGATTTCCCTTTACCTTTCTTCATAGAACATACCCCTTAGCTCTGGAACTAGCCTTGTTGCAAACCTTTGCACTTTCTCTTATTTTTTGACGTGTTTGACCAGGTGTGGGTTCCAAACTGGTGCTGTGTACTCCAGTATGGACCTGACGTACACAGTGTATAAAGTCTTGAACGATTCCTTACTGAGGTACTGGAACGCTATTCTCAGGTTTGCCAGGCGCCCATATGCCGCAGCAGTTATCTGTTTAATTTGTGCTTCTGCCGACGTACTCGGTATTATACTCACCCCAAGATCTTTCTCCTTGAGTGAGGTTTGCAGTCTTTGGCCTCCTAGCCTATACTCTGTCTGTGGTCTTATTTGCCCTTCCCCGATCTTCGTGACTTTGCATTTGGCGGGGTTAAATTCTAGGAGCCAGGTGCTGGACCATGTGTCCAGCCTGTCCAGGTCTCTTTGTGTATGTATCTCCGTGTGTTTATACACTCAC